GTTGGTGTAGAGAAATGCAACTGATTTCTCTGCATTGATTTTATATCCTGACACTTTACTGAATTCCTGTACAAGTTCTAGCAGTTTTGGAGAGGAGTCTTTTGGGTTTTCCACATATAGTATCATATCGTCTGTGAAGAGTGATAGCTTGACTTCTTCTTTGCCAATTTGGATGCCTTTAATTTCCTTTTGTTGTCTGATTGCTGAGGCTAGGACTTTTAGTACTATGTTGAATAGCAGTGGTGATAATGGACATCCCTGCCGTGTTCCTGACCTTAGCGGAAAAGATTTCAGTTTTTCTCCATTGAGAATGGTATTTGCGGTGGGTTTTTCATAGATGGGTTTGATAATATTGAGGTATGTGCCCTCTATCCCTACACTTTGAAGAGTTTTGATCAGGAAGGGATGCTGTACTTTGTCAAATGCTTTTTCCGCATCTATGGAGAGTATCATATGGTTCTTGTTCTTTCTTTCATTAATGTGCTGTATCACATTGATTGATTTGCGGATGTTGAACCAACCTTGCAGCCCTGGAATTCTTTCGGTTTTTGTTTGTCCTGGAAGCTTTTAATCTCTCCTTCTATTTTCCATGATAGCCTAGCTGGATATAGTATTCTCGGCTGCATGTTTTTCTCGCTTAGTGCTCTAAATATATCATGCCAGCTCTTTCTGGCCTGCCAGGTCTCTGTGGATAAGTCTGCTGCCAATCTAATATTTTTACCATTGTATGTGACAGACTTCTTTTCCCGGGCTGCTTTCAGGATTTTCTCTTTGTCACTAAGACTTGTAAATTTGACTATTAGATGACAGGGTGTGGACCTATTCTTATTGATTTTGAGGGGGGTTCTCTGCACCTCGTGGATTTTGATGCTTGTTCCCTTTGCCATATTGGGGAAATTCTCTCCAATAATTCTCTCCAATATACCTTCTGCTCCCCTCTCTCTTTCTTCTTCTTCTGGAATCCCAATTATTCTAATGTTGTTTCATCTTATGGTGTCACTTATCTATCGAATTCTCCCCTCGTGGTCCAGTAGCTGTTTGTCCCTCTTTTGCTCAGCTTCTTTATTCTCTGTCATTTGGTCTTCTATATCGCTAATTCTTTCTTCTGCCTCATTTTTCCTAGCAGTGAGAGCCTCCATTTTTTATTGCACCTCATTAATAGCTTTTTTGACTTCAACTTGGTTAGATTTTAGTTCTTTTATTTCTCCAGAAAGGGCTTTTATATCTCCCGAGAGTGTTTCTCTAATATCTTCCATGCCTTTTTTGAGCCCGGCTAGAACCTTGAGAATCGTCATTCTGAACTCTAGATATGACATATTACCAATGTCTGTATTGATTAGGTCCCTAGCCTTTGGTACTGCCTCTTGTTCTTTTTTTTTTGTGGTGAATTTTTCCGTTTTGTCATTTTGTCCAGATAAGAGTATATGAAGGAGCAAGTAAAATACTAAAAGGGTGGCAACAACCTCAGGAAAATACGCTTTAACCAAATCAGAAGAGATCCTAAATCATGAGGGGGGAGAAAGGGGATAAAAAGAGGTTCAGAAAGAAAAAATAAAAATTTAAAAAAAGAAAATGAATAAAGAAAAAATATAAAAAAGAAGAATAAAAAATATATATATATTAGATAAACTAGTTAAAAAACGTTAAAAAAGAAAAGGGTAAAAGTTAAAAAAAATTTGGCAGAAGAAGGGAAAAAAAATTGAAAAAGAAAAAAAAATTAAATTAACTGCAAGGCTAAAGAATCATGGGGAGAAAGCCATGAGTTCCGTGCTTTGCTTTCTCGTCCTCTGGAATTCCGCTGCTCTCCTTGATATTGAAACTGCACTCCTTGGTAGGTGAACTTGGTCCTGGCTGGATTTCTTGTTCATCTTCTGGGGGAGGGGCCTGTTGTAGTGATTCTCAAGTGTCTTTGCCCCGGGCGGAGTTGCACCGCCCTTACCAGGGGCCGGGCTGAGTAATCCGCTCAGGTTTGCTTTCGGGAGCTTTTTTTCCCTGAGCGCTTTCCGTAGAGTTCCGGAGGGCGGGAATGAAGATGGCGGCCTCCCAGTCTCCGGCCCAGAGGAGCCGAGAGCCCGGGGCCCCACTCCTCAGTGCGCCCTCAGAGAACAGCACCCAATTACTCCCGTCACCCTGGCCCTCGGCCGCGCTCTGAGCTGACCGAGCCTGCGACCGGTTCAAGGTAACCCCGAGCTGAGAGCTCACTCCTCAGCTCTGTCTCTGTAGCCGGCTTCTCCTTCCTAACACCAGTAAGCTCTGCGACACTCAGACACCCCCGATCCTTCTGTGACCCTGCGGGACCTGAGGCCACGCTGACCCTGCGTGGGCTTCACCCCAGTTAAGCCTCTGGAGCGATGTCCCTCAGCGGAACAGACTTTTAAAAGTCCCGATTTTGTGCTCCGTTGCTCCGCCACTTGCCGGGAGCCGGCCCCTCCCCCCGTGGTCTATCTTCCAGTCGCTTTGGATTCACTTCTCCGCCAGTCCTACCTTTCAGAAAGTGGTTGATTTTCTGTTTCTAGAATTGCTGTTCTTCTTCTCTTCGATCTCCCGTTGGATTTGTAGGTGTTTGCAATCTTTAGATAAGCTATCTAGCTGATCTCCTGCTACCTGAAGTAGTCTCAGCCTGCTACTTCTCTGCCATCTTGACTCCTCCTTATAGTATTTTTTAAAGTTTGTAATTAACTCATTCTTTTTCGATCAGTTCCTGGATGACGAAAGAGGACACATACAAGACCACAGTCCTCCATTAAAAACTCCAGATACCCAAGCAAAGATGAGGCTCATGCTCCTTTTCCTTTCTGAGTCTTTGGATGCTTTTACTGTATCTGCTCTCATCTCCTTGGCTTGCATTTGATTTCCATCCTGCATGAAACAAGCACCCACTTGGCTGGTCCTGTGAGACCCACTCTGGGTCCTTGGATTTGGGTTGCCTGCATCATCTTGGTAATTATGAAGTGACCATCAGAGGAACAATGGTACCCCAAAATTAAGTCTGCACAGCACAATTTGACTTTTGGGGATTGCCTACTCTGTTGGCGTAATGCTGCTGTAATTTCTGTCTCTGTGCACCTCTGTGTAACTGGTCTATTTTCTGGGGAAAAGGAAAACTGGGAGAACTGATATGGGACCTATTCTCATTCCCTATTCTCACTCCCTGTTCATTCCCTGTGCTCTGGATTGCTTTAGTTGGCTCTGAAACTTTACTCTCACTTTAATTTTAAGACTCTCTGGTTCAGTTCTTGGACAGTTTTTCTTAAGGCTATTAGCTGGCATAAGAGACTGAATCACTCAGCTCCAAAGAAAAGGGACACTTGTTCCTTCCCATCAGAAAGTGTTTTTAGGTGACTAAGAACCCAGGGAAGTGTCAGAAGTTATTTCTTATGTAGCAGTCCCTATAGAGGAAATCTTCTGCATGATAATTTATTTGTGGCTTGCCGGGAACACACACACATAAGACTTATCATCCAAGTCCTCCAAGCCCCCACAGTGATTTAAGACTGTCACTGGGAGAAACCAAGACACATTTGGGGATGATCAGCCTATTGGTGACTCTCTGGGAAGTTCTTCCCATAAGCAGCACGTTTGATCCACCACATGTTTTCCCTAGTATAGAACACAGACTTCTAAGTCTTTCTTTCTTTCTCATTGCTGGGTGGATGTCTCCTCATTGTAATGATATGATGTTGGTATTGCATTGAGGATTGGTGGCCAATCCTGTTGAGGACCAAAACTCTTAGAATTAAGAAGTGGTCCTGCTATACCCTCAGTTGCACTGGGTTTTCAGCTTCTAGGGGTAAGATATATGGCATGCTGGTCACTGCCAGGTAGACATTGCGTCCTTGAATGAGACATAGTGGATATTTCAGTGAGACACGTGGCAGACTGGTTACTGCTGGGTGGATGTCTGCTTGTTGGATTTCCTAGAGACATGTAATCTACCAAAACTAAAGCAATAAAAAAAAGAGAGAGAGAGAGAGAGAGAGAAAATTTGAGCAAACCAGTTACTAGCAATGAAATTTACTCAGTAACCAAAAAATGCCCAAAAAACAAAAACCTGGGACCAGGTGGCTTCACAGGCAAATTCTACCAAACATTTAAAGAAATGTTAATACCTATTCTTCTCAGACTATACCAAAAAAATACAAAAGGAAGGAAAACTCCCAAATTCCTTCTATGAAAACAGTATCACCTTGATATACCCAAATCAGATAAAGACACCACAAAAAAGAGAACTACAGACCAATATCTCTCATGAGTAAAGATGCAAAAGTCCTTAATATCCTTAAATCCTGTATATATAATATTATATAATATATAATAAGAATATGTGGGATATGTAATATAATATTATATAATATATAATAATTTATTTAACAGAATATGTAATTAATAATTATAATTATTAACAATAATTAATATAATATATATAATTTATTATATATAGTATTATATATAATAAACTATATATAATATATACACATTATTCAGCCATAAAAAGAATAATCCTTGTCATTCATGACAACATGGATAGAGCTAGAGAATGTAATGCTAAGTGAAATAAAGTAGAGAAAGACAAATACCATATGATTTCACTTGTATGTGTAATTTAGGAAACAAAACAAATGAACAAAGGTTAAAAAAGAGACAAACTAAAGGACAGACTCTTAACTACAGAGAACAAACTGATGGTTACTGAAGGGGAGGAGGGGGAAGTGGGATTAAAGAGTACGTTATCATGATGAAAAAAATAAATACCAAAAACGAGTTTGTTAATTGAAAGCCATCACCCAGTTTTAAATATGCATAAAAGAGAATTGAACTAGATATTCAACTTTTGAGAGGTACCATTACTTGAAAATGAAGAGAAAAATGATTATCTAGAAGACTGTTGTGTTTCACTTTTATTTCTGATGGCAACTAGAAACTAAGCACATTTTGATATTATTGGGTTAATAATATTATTGAAATAACTCATTCCTGTTGTTTTGTTTTTGTTTTGGTAGAGAGATGCTGAATTCCAGGAACATGAAAAGATTCTGTCTCCAGATTTTCTTTCAGCTGCTCAAATCACTGAAATGCTGGCAGAGGACATAGATGGAGTTCAACAGTAAGCATTTCAATATTACAACCAAATATAAAACAGTTCTAATTCTGCATCTATAAATGATCACAATATCCTATTATATATTTTAAACTTTTTTTCTAAAGAATTATTATACATGCAAATATAGATATATATATATAGATAGATATAGATATAGATATATCTCCAAATATATATAATCTCCAGAGTCTGGAACACCAAAATTCTCAAACAACTGACTTTTTACACTGCTCAGCTGTCGTCTTTATGCAAGAAGTGCATTTCAGACCAACATGCAAATGTTAACAGAGAATAGGGATTTATTGTTAAAAGCAGTCTTTAACATATGCTGTCTTCTACTTCTTTTCTCTTTCATTCGTAAAACTGTCAATTATGCACAGTAACCTTTAGGTCTTCTGTCTCATCGTGACAAGAATAAGTTGTTTTTTCTGTAATATTAAGAATTAATATATTTTAATACTTTGGAAATTCTGAGTATTAGCCATCCACCTGTGATTTTTATTGGATATGAAGCTATACTAAATACTCTAATTTCATGTTTTTTTCCTAAAAATGTGAATATAACTGAAAGTATGGGAATAATTCTAATACATGTACATCTCATTCTCAAGACCGTTGATTTCTATAGCAAATCATTTACGTAGAACTCTAGTCAGATATATCTAACACACAAGTTCCTAAAATGTGTTTTGAGTAATCAGTCATCTTAAAAGTTATCTTTCTCTAATAATATGAAGACTGATTGACTATAATGTGTAGAGAGCCCACTTTACACATGATGTGATGTTCTGGACTGTAATGTCTCTTCTGCAGATCAGTCATCTGGATGTTAGGAAGGTATTGTGGACCATAATGGACAAATAGAAAATGACTCTGTCAGTGGCTATCATTTGCAAATCTTTCAAATATTGTGGAATAGAGGTGATTTACTACTAAGAAGGAAATATGACAGATGTACTGGCTGGAAAAGAAATCTGAGAAGGGAAGACATATTAAGAGCAGGCAAATGACACTGACAGGTCTTTTCCCAGGATGGTCTTCAGTTTCAGGGCCTGCAAATCTTGCTAGAAATCCTGGTATCTGTGATGTGGCCATATTGCTTACCATCTATATCTTTATAAGTATTAAGTCAATTAAAAATTTCACAGATTTTTAAACAAGTATATCATGGTAACTTTAACATTTTTATAGAAATGAATGGCCACTGGAAATTCTGAATTTTAGTATCAGAATGATTAGCAAAATTCTTTTATTAGTATCACTGATTATGCTTTAAATGTTTTCCATTTCTAGATAATTCCAAATATTGATCATTAAAGTGCAAAAAATAGGTATTTCATACTAGGCAAAATAATATGATGACAGATATTTCTTAGAGTTTACAATTTATTTGTATTAAATATCAAAGATGTTATATTAAATGCAATTAATATTAAATAAAAGATAATGCAAACAAATTTTTTACACTTGTTTCATTCTTACCACATCTTAAGTTGTACCATGTACCATACCTTGTGTGACGATCTTTTTTTCCCACTTAATGGCTCTCTTTGTTGCCAAATATTTAAATTCTAAAAGTATTTTTAATCTTTAAGTGGTGATGTCTAGGATAAAGGAAATAACACAGAGGGTGATACAGAAGTTAACTGTATAAAAACAACCAGGTTCAACATGGGTTGACCTTTTAGACTGTTTCATTAATAGAATTCACCTGAAGTAATCTCAGATTTTGGATATCAATTTTGGATAAATGACAGTGTTATGTCAGGAGCTATTTCTTTGCAGAGTAATTTTTTTGAGGTTCTTTATAAGATTTTTATAATAGTAATCCTGAAATATTTGCAATCAATCGTTCACTTCCCATTTAAAATAGCATTATTGTAGATGGGGATTATATACTTTTCAAAATGACAGAAATATAATTTAGGTACCCTGTCACCAAGTAACAGAAGTATGCCAAAATCATGCAGTCTACAAAGCTATAAACCTATTTAAATAAATTATAGGAAATCACATTTCCCTACATTTTAAAATTAAAAACTGTTTCATGAAAGCAGCCAACCAAATGAAACATTATAGTATCATTAAAACATATTTCTAGATTACACTTCAAGTAAAGTTAAACCTCTGAGTACATTTCTCATGATCTCCTAACTATTATCAAACATTCTTGCTTTTAATGTAACCCTGATTTTTTACAGATACACCCAAATCCTTTTTGAAAAAATGTTAAGGACTAAACTGAAAATAACTAAACACAGAAATAACCCTGAGAGATCTTTTTTTTTCTTTTTTTCTTAAAGATGTTATTTATTTATTTGACAGACAGAGATCACAAGTAAGCAGAGAGGCAGGCAGAGAGAGGAAGGGAAGCAGACTCCCCGCTGAGCAGAGAGTCCGATGCGGGGCTCTATCCCAGGATGCTTGGGATCATGACCTGAGCTGAAGGCAGAGGCTTTAACCCACTGAGCCACCCAGGTGCTCCTGAGAGATCTTTTAATAACCTTCCATAACTGGGCTTCCATGAGCTGTTCAGCTCTTGCCTTAAGGCTTATTTCTGAATATGATCATATTTAAAAAAAAATAAGATGCATTCCAATTTCAAGAGCATGTAGGAATAATGTAATACCTTTCCTGGGCTTCTTGATGAGATGAAGTAGATAGTTACATCACCTGTCACTATAGTAAAACTTCCTAAATCCCAGTTAAGCATCTTTTTTTTCCCCCATAGTCTCTAATGCCACAGCTATAGCCTTCTCTCCTCTCCCATGTCCCATCTTCCCTTATCCCCAGACGAAAAACTTAAAGATTTGCCAGTAAAATGCATGGAACCTTTGCATTCAAATTGCAGCAGCATCTTGCTCCAGATGCTTCCCTGCATAACCTCCTTTGGGGTGAAATATGTGAGCTGAGAGTAGAAATGGTAAATATTCAGCCCTGCAATTCAAGTTGACGGTTAAGATTCAAATGGTACTAGGGAAGGTGGTGGAGGGGGGATGGGGAAGAGCAAAGATAGAAGTGGTCAAAGAAGTTTCATTAAAATACTCTTGGACAAATAGTTGGCTTCATTTACATATAACCAGACACTTAAAAAATGAAAATTAAAAGCAAAGAGCACATCAACTATTTAAGTCAAATATTTAATTTTTTTTAAGGAACAGCATGGAGATGGCAGATAAAATGTACAGTTAGAAGGAAGACTAACTGTTGGGAATAAAATGTTCAGAGATATTTGACTCCAGAGTTGATTGACTCAAGTCCTCCATAGTATCATCAAGAAATTTATAATTTTAGAATTGATTTTTCTTATGACTATAAGATGGCTACCAGTAGCAATCAAACATACTTATTTACTCTTGTATTTTTGTTCCACAGAATAAAATAAACCTCATCCTTAGGAATTAGAACAATTTAGGAGAGTGCCCACCACAGACCAGTAGTTACTATAGAAAATGCCATATATTGAATACCATTATATTGCATTATGGGAAGAGGGGAGATTATCTTAATTGGTTTAGAGGAATCAGAACTTACTTTTGTGGTTGAGGTCTACCTTGACACCACTGTAGATGAGATGGATGTTAGTGGTTAAATACAACATCAGCTTAATTTTTTCCCAAATTTGCTTCATCCTGTTGTATATATTCTGATTATAGAACCTATTTCAATATTATGAATAATAAGGACTTCCTTTTTTGAAAATGGCAGTATAAAGTTGTCACACACCCACACACAGTCCTTCAGAAATCACATATAAGCAACAAGGAAATACCAATAACTTCTTTATCCAAACAAGGAGAATACTATATGTCCAAACCACAAAATAGAGGATGACTGCCAGAAGCATTATAGTTCAAGCAGAAATGGAAGAGAAAGAATGAGAAAGATACACATAGTTGAAGATCTTAGAGTGAGTTAAAAAACGTAATTATTCTCCTAGGTGAGAAGAAAACCCTGAAGTGCTATTTCAAGAACACTTGTTTGCAATAACAGGACAAGGATATACAGGCTTAGAACAGATAATTCCCATGTTTATAAGAAATAGATTGTTTATGTGATGGTAATGAGAACCCATCCTACTTTTTTTTTCCTTTCCCCCACTAATTGAAAAAAGAGTAAAAAACTAGAATAAATGACACAAACTTATTCTGTACAGAAAATAGCTTGTCACATGGCCAAGTCTGAGTAAAAAAAAAAACAAGGAATATGCATACAAAACAATTTTAAGAAAAAAAAAGTAATTAAAGAATAGGGAGAAAAAAACTGGCAAGAAAGAAAATACAACCAAATGAATATAGCCATGAGCAGAAAAAAAATAGTCAAATATTTATCATGAATTTAAAAAGACAACTTATGAAGCAACCACAACAAGAGTATAAAATAGAGATATAAAAACTCAAGGAAGAGATAACAAGAAATAAAAGGTAATAAAGCATCTAAAAAGGCAGAGTAGAAAAGAGAGAGCTCTGTAAACAGCCCAAGGGGCAATTAACATTGCTGAAAACACTAAGGGACCTAGAAGACGGTATTGAGAAAAGTATAAAAAATGAAAAGGAAATGATTTGGAAAAAAAATTTGAAGGTTAATAGAAAATTATAGCATAGACAAAATGAGTTGCTGTACTTCAAAGACAGAAGAAGGAAGAAGAGGAGGAAGGTGAGAAGGAGAATTACAAGAGACCAAATGGAAGAAGACCAACAAGAGTGCTGACTCTTGCTCTCTTTATCTCTTCTTCCTCTTCCTTCTCTCTGTTTTCCTTTTGAATGTCATTGTGGACTTAGAATTTTGATATAACTATGAATATTTTTAGATTTAGGGCATTATAGAATTTTCATTCAAGAAAACTATTTGAGTTTTCAAAACTTAGAAAAGGAGCTGTGCATTAATCTGGTTTTAATGTCTGGATTTTCTCTTTGTTACAGAAAATTGAAAAAGTTTTTGAATTTCAAAAACCTTCACACCTGTCTAAAGGAAGCCATTCTACTAGATTATTATGTATCTGGATTTTTGTGGGCTAGAGGAATGGAATTTTCTGTTATTCAATATTCAAAATTTATGACTTTACTAGATATGTTACTTCATAATCTTAGAAGTAAGTACATTATTTTTTATTTTTTTTAAAGAAAATTTAGTCCACTATCTAAATTAATGTTCTTAAGCAAAAGTTTCTAATTTTCTTGTAATTCCTTCAGTGAAAATTATAGGATTTTTTTCTGGGTAGAGCAAAGATATATAGTTCAACCCTCCTTAAGTTGTGAAATTTCGAACAGTATTTAATAGGCTAAAGTTCTCTTAATTAACTTGCCAAAGATATGTTAACTTCATTTTAAAATCTTATCAATGCTGTATGTCCCCAAAATGTCATGTAGTTCACATTTATTTAGGTATTTTTTTCATTGTTTGAACTGTTTTCATTTTATCTTACCTACAAGTATTACTGGGATATCTCATAAATGACTAATGAGAGGAGGTACTTAAGTTGATATCTAAACCCCATTAAATAGACATTACTCACATACACTTAGATTTTGTGACATTTTTTCTTATACAACTTTGGAATGAGTTACTATAGGAAATTTGGAAATTCTTCCTTAGAGCACTTTTCAGTTGATATTTTTTTTTTCCAGAATAAATACAATTGCTTTTTGGAATAAAGAAAAGAAAGAAATCTATCACTGATATATTGCCAACTCTGTGTGCTAGGCATTAGTTTGGTTCTAATCTTTAACATGCATTATTGAACCCCAGAGCAACTCCTGCCTGGGAGGTATTATAACCACTACCTCAGTAGGTTAAGCATCTGCCTTCAGCTCAAGTCATGATCCCAGTCTCCTAGGATCAGGCCCTTGTCAGGCTGCCTGCTCAGTGGGGAGTCTGTTTGTCCCTCTTGCCTGCTCGTGCTCTCTTTCTTTCTCTCTCTCTCTCTCAAATAAATAAGTAAAATCTTTAAAAAGCAAAAAGATAAATAATTGTACCAATAGAAGAAAAAATAAAGTGTGATAATGAAACTAATTTGTATGATATTAACTGATCAGATAGACTTCGGTTGTTTTTTTCCCTAATGAGGAAATGGACAAATATTTATAGAATCCTTGAGTACTACATGTCTCTAAACAGTAATCTTTCAACACCATTGCCAAAATTACTTGGCAAACAAGGAACCATGTAACTCTCAACTTACATGGAAAATAATAATAAATAGATGCCAACTATAAGATGAAATAGATATTGAGATTATATGTTAAAGACTGAAACTGATATTACACAAGTGCTTAAATGAACAACTGTGAACATCCTTGAAATAAATTTTAAAAAGAATCATGAAAAAAAATGGAAGGTATAAAGAAGAAATAAATGGAAATTTTGGAACAAAATTATATAATAACCGAAATTAAAATCTCATTAGATAGAAATAATAGCAAAATGGAGAAGAGACAAAAAAATCAGTGAACTTGAACATAGAGTGATAGCAATCTGAACAATACAGAGAAAAAAAGATTGGCAAACAAATGAATAAAACCTCAGGGACCTGTGAGAAAATTAAAGTTCTAATATACATATTGTTCGAGTCTCAGAAAGACCACAGAAAGAGTATGTGCTAAACAAACATTTGAAGAAATAATGACTGAAAACTTTCCAAAGTTGGCAAAAGGCATAAATTTATAAATTCAGGAGGCTGATTGGACTACAGAGAGACTAAACCAAAAGAAAAACACCATCCACCAATTGGGTCTATTTGACATTTACAGAACAGTCCACCAAAAACAGAATAGGCATTGTTTTCAAATGCACACGGAATATTCATCAAGGTGGACCGTATTCTGGGTCATACAACAATCTTAAATTCAAAATAATTGAAATCATACAAATATGTTGTCTGATCACAAAGGGATTGAACAAGAAATTAATAGCAGAAATATACCAGGAAAATCTTCAAACACATATTAAACAATACAATTCTAAGTAGTATGTGGGTCTCCTATATCTAAACAGATACTAGAAAAGATATGTAAGTAAAAATAGTTCATGAAAATTTATGTGGTACAGCTGAGTCAATGATAAGAGGGAAGTTTATGTCATTAAATACTTATATTAGAAAAAAATCTAAAAATAATCTAAACTTAAGCCTTAGGAAGCCAATTTTAAAAATAAGCAGAAATCAAGAAGGAAAGAAAGATATACTAAAGAACAGAAATCAATGAAATTGAAAAAAAAAACGCAATAGACAAAATCAATGAAACCAAAATCTGGATATCTGAAAATATCAATAAAACTGATAAACATGAAGCAAAACTTGACTAAGGAAGAAAAAAGATACAAGGCACAGATTGTCATTATCAGGGATAAAAAAGAGGAGGCTTTCACTACAGATTCTGTATACATTAACAGAATATTAGGAAAAAACTACTTATGTACATAAATTAGGAAACAAAAAGGAAATGAACCAAATCCTCCAAAACCACAAACCAGCAAATCTTGTGCAAGATGAAATAGATAACATGATATAGTCATAACTATTTAAGTGATTGACTTATTTAACCTTTAGGAAAAGATCTCCAGGTCTAGATATTTTCACTGGAAAATTCTATCAAACATTTAATGAAGAAATGCCACCAATTATACATAATCCCTTTCAGAAATAGTAGAAGAAAGAATTCTTCCTAATTTATTTTATGGGGCTAGAATTATCTTCATAGCAAAACCTGACAAAGACAGTGTGAAAGAGAGAGACAGAGAGAGAGAGAGAGAGAGAGAAGAAGGTGGAGGAGGAGAAAAAGGAGAGGGAGGGAGAGGAGGAAGAGAGCAGCAACGATAGCAAAAGGAGGAGGAGGAGAATCTACAGACCAACATCCTTCATGAACATAAACAAAAAATTTTTCAACAAAACATCAAAATGAATCAAGCAAGCTATAAAAAGAATAGTACACATGACCAGTTGGGGTTTATCCCAGAAATCAATGCTGGTTCAATATTTGAAAATCTCATCAATGTAAATATTCTAAAGAAGAAAAGCCACATGATCATATAAATATATGCAGAGAAAGCATTTGACTAAATACGACATCCATTCATAATTTTAGAAAAGAGTTAGAAAACTGAGAAAAGAAGCAATATTCTTCAACGTCATAAAAGACATGCACAACAAACCTAAACCAGTTGTTACACTTAGTGGTGAAAGACCAGATGCTTGTCCTGTAAGATCAGAGTCAAGGCAAGAATGTCTACTCTCACCACTCCTATTCAACACAGAACTGAAAGAAAGTCTTAGCAGTAAGTGCAATAGAGTAAGAAAAAGAAATAGAGGAGAAGGAGAAAATAAAACAGTCCCTGTTCTCAGATGAAAGGATTGTCTATATAAAAAATTAAACAGAATTTTAAAAAATCCTAGAACTAATAAGATTGCAAGAATAAGATAAAACACAAAAGTCAATTGTATTTCAATGCGCTAGCAATATACATTGTATACCAGAATTTTAATAAATAGCATTACTTACAATAGTTCAAAAAATAAAAAATAAGCATAAATCTAACAAAAATGTACAAGATCTGTATACTAAAAAACTACAAAATGATGATAAAAGAAATGAAAGAAAGCCTAAATAAACAAAAAACTTACTGTGTTGTTGGATTAGAAGTTTCCACATGCTAAAGATGTCAGTTTTTCCCAAATTGATCTGTAGATTTAATGCAATGTCAATCTAAATTCTGGCAGGATTTTTCTCTATACATACCCAAGCTGATTTCTAAATTTATATGGAATGGCTAAGGAATTAGAATGGCTAAAACAACTTCAAAAATAAGGATAAAGCTCCAAAAAAGCATACACCCAATTTTAAGGCTTACTGTAAAGTTACAATAATAAAGTCAATGTTGAATTAGTGAAGGGATAAAAGCATAGCTCAATGAAACAGAAGAAACAGAATTCAGAAATACACTGATGCAAAAGTGGTCATCTGATTTTTTTTATAAATATGTAAAAGCAATTCAACAGAACAGAGTAGTCTTTTCAACAAATGTTGGAATGATTTCTGTCTATATTGAAAAAATATATAGCTCAGCCTAAGCATTTTATTTGATACAATTAGCTCTAAATGGATCACAGGCATAAAGTTAGAATGTAAAGCTATAAATTTTTTAGAAGAAAATTGGGAGAAAATCTTCATGACCTAGGGATTTACAAGAATTTCTTAGACATGACCCTCAGAACATGATGCATATAGGAAAAAAAATGATAAATTAGACTTTATAAAATTATAATACTTTTGTTTTATGAAAAGTCACTGTTAAAAGAATGGACAAGCTACAGATAGGGAAAAATATCTGTAAATCACATATTGACAAAAGACTTGTCTCTGTAACATATAAAGAGCTCTCAAAACAATAAGAAAACAATAATCCTATTAAAAATAGGCAAAGCAATCAAAAGGCATAACTCATGTCAACCAAGAGGAAAACGTTAGACAAACCCAAACTGAGGAACATTGTGCAAACTATCTGACTGGTACCTCCCAATCTGGCAAGGTTATCAAAAATAGGAAAAGATTGAGAAATGTTCACTCTAGGGGAACCTCAGGAGACAGGACTACTAAATATAATGTGATATCATAGATGGGATGCTTGAAATTTCTTATTCTTTTTCTAGAATATTAAGTAAAAATTGAGGAACTCTAATAATAATTTTAAAAATATATATGTAGAAAAAGAAAGGGATTTAATGAAAGCAAAATATATATGCACTCTAACAAAAAACTATTTAAGAATAAACTTTAAAAAGAAATGTACAAGTCCTATATGAAAAAACTTCATAACTTTTAAAGGTCACAAGGAAGTTTTCTACATTTGGAAAAACCTTACAACATTCTTGGAAGCACTCCACATCATAAAGAAGCTAAATCTCTCTAAATTAATATATAATATTAGTATTTCAGTAAAAATACCAACAGTTTTTTGTTGTTGATGTTTTTGCCTGTGGTGACTTACTAGGCAAGATGATTCTAAAAAAATATGGAAAGTAAGCAAATACAAATTGTCTTTAAAAACTGTAATAAACCATAACATATCTTGTTATTAGCAGTAGAATTATTAATAGTA